AGGAAAGGGGGGGGAGGGGCGGGCGGGGGGAAGGGAAACTGAGAAAAAAACCAAACAAAAAAAGCGTCTTCTGGCCATAAAAATAATTTACCTAAAAGAACGAAAACCCCCCAGGCAATGAAATGGAAAAGCCCGACCTGCCCTCGGGCCGAGCCGCGGAGCACCGGGCCGGGGCTCCAGGACCCGCCTGCCGAGGGGCTCACAAACGGGCCCCCCGGGGCTGTAGTTTCATAATGGGCACATTCCAGAACCGCCAGACACACAGTGGCTGTTGGAGATGATGTGGGAGGGCAAGGACGGCACCTCAGAGGGACACTTACCCCTGGCTCAGGCTTTAACACAGGGGACAGCTTGGTGCCCACCAGACCTTCACCCTCAAACATGGAGAGGAAAATAAGTCCTATGGCTTGCACCGTCCTCAATGAGCTGCGCCTTGAGGGGAAATTCTGTGATGTGACCATCAGGGTGGATGGCGTTGGATTTGATGTCCACAGAATCATCCTCTGCTCCTGCAGCCACTATTTCAGGTCTGTGATTGAAACAAGAAGGGATGGAGACAAACAGGAGTTCCTGTCCCATGTCACACGGCCCTAGCAGAGCTGCAGGGCTTCCCTCAGCATGGAACTCTTCTCCAGCAATTGCCCACAGTCCTTTTACCAGCCCAGCAGCAGAACTGCTCTCCCAGCTCTGGCAGTGGGGTCTGGTGGCTCAGGTGAGGTGCTGGGCCAGGAGCATGGCCAGCCAGGCCCACCTGCCCTCGGGTTCCTTCCCCATGTCCCACTAACCTCTGGTGTTCACCACACGCCCTGTTGCTCTCTGGCCACAGCTGGAGACTGTGACTCCTCTTTAAAACTCCCAGTTAGTAAAACATGAGCTAATAAACTACACAGCCTCTCAGCATGACTGCTATGAGTGCCCAAACTGGTCCAGAGGTGGGGAAGGAGGCACAGGGGGCAACGGGGCCAGGGTTTAAGGCAGCAAAGCTGTTTTTAACCCCAGCGCTGCTTTGTTGTTTTCAGGGCTTTGTTTTCCACCCGCGGGAACAGCGCAGAGGACAGAGTGTATGAAGTGCACGGCCTTTCCCCTGAAATGATGAGGATCATCATCGAGTTTGCCTACACCAGGACAGTACCCATCACGATTGACAATGTTGAAAATTTGCTAATTGCAGCAGACCAGTTTAATGTCATGGGCATCATCAGGCTCTGCTGCGAGTTCTTGAAAGCCCACTTCTGCCCTGAGAACTGCATAAGCATCTGGAGGCTCACGGAGAGCTACTACTGTCCTGACCTAAGAGAAGCAGCCTACTCCTTCATCCTGCGCCACTTTGAGGAGATATCCAGGGTCTCTACAGAATTTCTAGACCTTCCCTTAAGTGACCTAGAGCAGATCATGGAGAGAGACGAGCTCAATGTGAAGGAAGAAGAAGTGGTGTTTGAGGCGATGCTGAGATGGATTGCCCACGACCCCCAGAACAGGAGGCAGCATGTTGCAGCCCTGCTGGGCAAGGTGGGTGCTGTCACAGCACAGGCCTGGGGGGCTCAGCCAGAGTCACTTCCCTTTCCTTGTCAGGCCAGAGGACATCACAGCCTCCCAGCTGGTGACAAAGCTGTTGCTATGCTGGGGCATGGGTTGAAGATCCCACCCTGGGGTTGGGACAGATCTTCGAAGTGCACATTTCCTCATGTTTGGACCTTAACTGTTCCTCACATCCAGGTAGGGCCAAAGTCCACGTGGGACAATGTTCTCCCTACACACACAAGGTTTATGAGCAGCAGGTGCCCAGGCAGCCCCAGCCCGAGCCCAGGGAGGTGCCGTGTTGGGGGGCAGGCTCCCCACCACCAAACCCAGTGATTCACCCTTGCACACCTGTTTCTGGACTAGCTAAAAAAGACACATTTCATCCTCTGGTTCTCTAATCATCTTTAGACAGTCCTGTAGCCCAAAAGCAAAGCCACGCAGCATTGGAACTATCCACAAAGGGTACCAAGGTGTCCAGTTACCCCGTTGGTTATTTCAGGTTCGACTGGCACTGATGGAAGTAGGCTACTTCATCAACAAGGTCAAGAGGCACGATTACGTGAAGGACAATGAAGAATGTAAAGACCTCATCATAGACACGCTGACAGAGATGTACATCTTCAACATGCATGGTCCATCCCGCTCAGGTTTTACCAACCCGCTCAGCCGGCCCCGCCTGCCCTCCACCCTCCTCTTCGCCGTGGGGGGCTGGAGCGGGCGCAGTCCCACCAACGCCATCGAGACATACGACAGCCGTGCCGACACCTGGCTGAACGTCACCTGCCAGCAGGGCAGGCCCCTGGCCTACCACGGCACTGCCTACCTGAAAGGCTTCATCTACATCATCGGAGGGTTCGACAGCGTGGGGTATTACAGCAGCGTGAAGCGGTTCGACCCCCGGAAGAAGACGTGGCAGCAAGTGGCTCCCATGCACTCGCAGCGCTGCTACATCAGCGTCACCACCCTGCACGACTCCATCTACGCCATGGGGGGGTACAACGGGAACACGCGCCTGGACACGGCCGAGCGCTACGAGCCAGAGAGCAACCAGTGGACCCTGATCGCCTCCATGAACGACCAGCGAAGCGACGCCAGCGCGACCACGCTGCACGAGAAGGTAAACGGACCTCGAGATGAGAGGCAGGAGCTAAAGCTACAGTGTGGTGAGCAGGGCAAGGAACCACACAAACCAGAGTGGGCAGCGCTGCAGGGTGAGCCAGTGTGTCCTTCCACGCGGCAGGGCCTCGCGTGGAGCTCAGCCAGGGACATGAACACAGCTACCCCTCCATCACCTAGAAAGAAAACAGCTGTGGGAGCAGGAAAGGGAACAAATGCTCCCTTTAACAGGATGAATCATTTAAAATAGAGAGGAGGAAAGTTCAAGTAAAGCTTATTAGTTAAATCCTGGAGCTACAGCTATAAAGCTCTCCAAGAGGCAGCAGCTGACTGGCATGGTGGAGACACAGCCTGGAGAGGTGAAATCCAGAGCTGGTATCACCAGTTGCCTCCTGCTGCCAGACAGGACTTCTCCTGGCCACAAGTGAAATCCCACACCTAGCGGCTTCGTGGAGCTCAGGAAATGAAGGGGCTAAATCCTGCTGTCCTGAATAACCCACTGCACATGTGGTCCTTCAAAGCCAGGATGACAGCACCTCTCCCATTTAAACAAAAAATCCAGCCATACATTTAATTTTCTCTTCAACGTGTTCTCCCACCAGGAGTGGAACTGCCCTGCTCACACCTTTCTCCTGTAACCAGGTGTATATCTGTGGCGGGTTCAATGGGACCGAATGCCTGATCACTGCAGAGGTGTACAACGCCACCACAAACCAGTGGAGCTTCATAGCCCCCATGACCACCAGCAGAAGCGGAGTGGGTGTGATCGCGTACGGAAGCGCCGTGTACGCGGTAAGGGAGCAGTGGGACCCTGCCCCAACACCACCCACCACTCCCAATACTTACTTTTGCTCATCTAGACTTTTAGGCTGGCCGTTTGCTTGTGAGTGAGATCTAGGGAGGAAAGTCAGAGCCAGAACAGTCAACACGCCTTCCAAGAGCACTCTCACCCACACAGTTTTTGTTATGAAAAATGTGTGGACAATTTTTAAGCAGCTGCAGCAAAGAAATACTTTTCTGCTGCTGCAGACAGCATTAGCAGCATGGAACATTTGCTTGGTCCTGTTTCTCCTACCCATGTGCTGCGTTTAGGCAGTAAAATCTGACAGTTTTACAAAGCAACTCTTGGAAGCTCCAGAAAGAACAAGGGAGCAGTCTGCAGACAAGCATCGTTTTGAGAACATGCACTCAGCAATGCTCAAACTGAAGGCAGAGACAGGACCAGTTACCATCTCCCTGGTGTGGGAAACAACGTGGCTGATGTGGTGGGTGAGGAAAGGCCTGTTTGAACACTGTACCTCTGGTATTCACAGGTAGGGGGATTCGATGGATTTAACCGGCTGCGGAGCGCGGAAGCGTACAACCCGGTCACCAACACCTGGCGCATGATCCCCACCATGTTCAGCCCACGCAGCAACTTTGGCATTGAAGTGGTGGATGACCTTCTGTTTGCAGTTGGTGGCTTTAATGGTGTTTCCACCACCTTCACCGTCGAGTGCTACAACAAGAGGACCAACGAGTGGTACGACGCTGAGGACATGTCCATCAGCCGCAGCGCGCTGAGCTGCTGCGTGGTGCCCGACCTGCCCAACGTCAGGGACTATGTGGGCAGGTGACACTGACACGTGGACAACTTCAAGGGAAGCCAGGTTAAACTCTCCAACAAGGAGCCTGCCTGTATAAACAGCTCACTTGGCTAATAAAGGCTTCTGCACAGCAAGTGAATGTTTTCACTTATTCTAAAATATAAAGAACTGGTACGAGACAAAATAATACGTTAGTATTGAAAACATTCATTCTGTGGCACCACAAAATGTGTGTATTAGCCACAACCCACATAGCAACTTAAAAACAAAAAGGCACAACAGAATGCTAAAGAAATAAAAGGTTTATTTTCGTTAATTCACTTATTACACTTCAGTACAGTGAGGAAAGGGGGGGGAGGGGCGGGCGGGGGGAAGGGAAACTGAGAAAAAAACCAAACAAAAAAAGCGTCTTCTGGCCATAAAAATAATTTACCTAAAAGAACGAAAACCCCCCAGGCAATGAAATGGAAAAGCCCGACCTGCCCTCGGGCCGAGCCGCGGAGCACCGGGCCGGGGCTCCAGGACCCGCCTGCCGAGGGGCTCACAAACGGGCCCCCCGGGGCTGTAGTTTCATAATGGGCACATTCCAGAACCGCCAGACACACAGTGGCTGTTGGAGATGATGTGGGAGGGCAAGGACGGCACCTCAGAGGGACACTTACCCCTGGCTCAGGCTTTAACACAGGGGACAGCTTGGTGCCCACCAGACCTTCACCCTCAAACATGGAGAGGAAAATAAGTCCTATGGCTTGCACCGTCCTCAATGAGCTGCGCCTTGAGGGGAAATTCTGTGATGTGACCATCAGGGTGGATGGCGTTGGATTTGATGTCCACAGAATCATCCTCTGCTCCTGCAGCCACTATTTCAGGTCTGTGATTGAAACAAGAAGGGATGGAGACAAACAGGAGTTCCTGTCCCATGTCACACGGCCCTAGCAGAGCTGCAGGGCTTCCCTCAGCATGGAACTCTTCTCCAGCAATTGCCCACAGTCCTTTTACCAGCCCAGCAGCAGAACTGCTCTCCCAGCTCTGGCAGTGGGGTCTGGTGGCTCAGGTGAGGTGCTGGGCCAGGAGCATGGCCAGCCAGGCCCACCTGCCCTCGGGTTCCTTCCCCATGTCCCACTAACCTCTGGTGTTCACCACACGCCCTGTTGCTCTCT